ATCTCCTGCACTAGTAACACATTCTCTGCTACGCTTCTCCCCTGCACAAATCCCGCTTGATGTGGAGAAATAACACCTGGTAGAACAAAGTTTCAACTCTTTTCAGAATGATCAACCCATGATAGCTAGAATCAGTTTCTTCAATTCATATAGCAGCCTGACTTCCTGACTTCTATTTCTATTCAACTACTGAGATCAAGAAAACATGCAGTCATTCAAGAACATTTTCAAATTGTCATTTTGAAGAGTGTCAAAAGCTCACTCTAAGTGGCAAGTTAAGCCTCGAATCCAATTCAAGATCATGATATCTAAAAGTTAAGACTCAAGAGAAGCTACATAGGTAAGAGCTTGTACTTTTATTTTCCTTTTGACTATTAGCTTTCATTTTTTTATGTAAGGATAGGAGCCATGATCTGGAGCCTCGATGGAAACTCACTTAACTTCCAACTCATGATCACCTCATCTCCTTGAACTACATGTGACTTGATTCCCTTATAACTCGGGATATGTAGGATGTCCAAATCAAGGACTCGGCCGCATATTCTTCTTTCAAATAAGAGTCCGGTCAAAACTTGTCGCATTGTCTACTTCTTTGTCTGAAAACTCTTCGTGTTTCTAGTCAAAGAGAGGCAAACTGTAGATACGTAATTTTTGATCGAATTTAAGGTTTTACACCATTTTTAGTGTTTAAATATTTTTTAAAATTTAAATTAAATATTTTAATTTTTATCTTATTTTATTAAGTTTATTCTAAATGATTTGAAAGTCACAAAAGTTGAAATCACATTTTAAGTCATTTTCAATTCTTTTTTTAAAAGAAATGTAAAAATACAAAAATATTTTTTTTCTTTTAATTTAAATTTAATAAATAAACTAGTGTTTCTTAATTATATGTTTAATTAACTATTTAACTTAATTTTCTTATAATTATATTAGGTTAAAATAATTAGTTAATATTTTTATTATTATATTTTATATTTTATATTTATATTTATATATACCTATACACTACCCCACTACCCTCACCCCATTACCCCTATTCTCCTCAACCTATACTCAACCCACTCCCACGTACACCCACACACCTCTATCCTACATATACTACACTACACCATCCAAAAAAAAAAGGAAAAAAATCAGCAGCCAAAGAGACAGACATACGTACAGAAAAATAGAAAACAAGATCCAAACATTGTAATTTCCTTCCAACTACTACATCACATGGAAACAAAAATACAATACACATCCACACCAAAAATAGATTTGTGTCGATCAAAATTTTGCGGTTCTTATTTCTTCATTTAAGATTCAACTTTACCTTATCTCTTTAATTTATTTATGGAGTTTGATGTAATTATGTGATAAGTTTTCTTATAGTTTTGTTTCATTCATAATTTGATTGAAATGAATATTGACCTTTTGAGTTATATTTTTATTATATCTTAATGCATATCTCTAAAAGATGAATAAAATTCTATTATTATGTAAGGATTTTTTTTTGTTGTTATTCAATTTTGTTATGCCTAAGCCACTATTTTTATGGTATTGTTGTAGCTTAATTTTGATGTCAATTATCTATTTTAATTTATGTATTTTTGGATAAATGGGTCATTACCCAATGAGCAAACAAATAAGTTATGTGAACTTGAATTTATTCCATTTTAGGTTGGTTGAATCCATGGATATGGTGACTAATTTGATTAAAAATAGCATTGATTAATATAATAAGAGAACAAAAAGATTAGTTGTCATGAATTCAAAAAAATTGGAGTACTAGTTTTAATACTAGGTGAGTTTTAGGCACATTAAAAATATTTGTTTCAATTAAGAATGTGGTTACACATCTTCATTGAGAAGTTAAAAAATAAACTCAAGGATGTGGTGACGCACCTTGTCAAATAATATAATTAACTTTCATTGATTTAAAGTAGAGACTTACACACAAATTATTAAGTGCGATGCAAAGAAGACAATTATACCTCTAAATGTCAAGACCAAGAATGCAGTTACGCATCTAGGTTAAGACCAAAAAAAGTTCAACAATAAAAAATGCAAACAAATAATGGGATGTAATAATGTATCCCAAAAATAATTTAAGATAACTATAAGTCAATAAAAGCGGCCGTGCTAGAATCACGGGACTCGAGGGATGCCTAATATCTTACCCTCGATCAACAGAATTCCTTACCTGAATTTTTAGTTCGCAGACCAAAATAAAGAGTCATTTCCTTTTGATCAAGGATAAAAAAAAAAAAAAAGGTCACTTGGAACACCATAACTCAATTCCAAGTGGCGACTCTGAAAAAAAAATCCCTAATCAATAACGTCACTTAAATTGAAAAAACCTTTAACCGCTAGGCAAAAAAAGGGGTGTGACAGGAATTTATTGATTCTTTCAAAATTATTATTTTTAATTTTGAAGTTATATGAACAGAAGATAAATTAATTGATGATACCTTCAAAAATTTGACTTTTCTTAGAAAAATAATTAATTTTGTTATCACTAACCAACAAAGTTTAAAAAATAATATGATTCTTTAAAAAAAAAAAATCATAGAACGGATGAAATTTAATTGAAGAAGAAGAAAAGAGGGACACAACTTGACGTGCGTGGGGAAGGATGGGAGTGAGAGGTGAAGAAGAAGAAGAAGAAGAAGAAGAAAGAAGGAAAGAAAATGGAGGGAGGAAGACAGCTTGAAGTGAGCGTGGGTGGGGTGGGATGGAAGGTGAAGTGAAATTTAAGGTGAAATCAAAATAAAAGTAATAAAAATAAAGAGATAAGTGTCAAAAACACACATAAACTATTCACTTTATGTCTTTTCTCTTTAAAAAATAAAAATAAATGTTAATCCTAATATGCATTTGAAAAAATGAATTGAGTATGATGATTCAATTCAGGCCACGTTTTAATCATAACTAAATTAATATACAGTATATTTCCATATATATTTCCTTTCACAAAAAATTGACAATCTTTCGTTTCTAGCAAATTGTATTCTGAGAAATCCAGCCACACCAATCTTTTTTGCTATCCTTGTATGTTGATTTATTTCAAAAAAAAATTCACAACGATGTGTTCGAATTAATGGATTATTGGTGCCATTATAAGTAGGTGGTGTATTGCCTTTTGTAGCAGGAATTGCTGATCTGCTAGTTGTCTGGGCACTATTTGACTCAGGTTTGTGGGTTCTTAGTTTTGTGGAGTCAATTTCCAATCTAGACAATTGTTCTTGGATGACTTGGACAATTCTTTCGATGAGGCATTGTTCCATTGCTACAATTTTAGAGTCCATTAGGGTTTTTGTAATGGTATGTTCTCCTTGAAATCGAGAACTGATCTCATCGCGCATTGTGTTAGGCTCTGATACCAAATTGTTAGAATTCTTAGAGAAGGATCGAGTCATAGGACGATGAACAGGGAAATCAAATTCAACTGCCTTTGATTTTCCCTTGCTTTTGTTCGAATTCCTAGATCGACCTATTTTTGTATATGAATTCAGCTCATCAAAGGGAAGCTGAAACCTTAGAGTTCAATGGAAGAGAGAACTCCTATCTCTTGTTTCTGATTAAAGTCTGCGTACTTCTTATTCCTCAAATCCTCCTTTAAATAGGAGTCTTCTTACAATAATAGGAAGTCTTATGGAACTAGGAAACATAAATCCTATTCTAAACTAATAAGAAAACTACTAATAATATAATTAAATTCTTCCTATTCTAGAATAATAATAAACTACTAGCGTTATAATTAAATCAAGTTATTTGGCTCTCTGTCGCACATATGTCTTGCCCACAAATGCGTCCACAACATTACCCCCTCATGCTGAAAGAGCTTGTCCTCAAGCTCAAACGATGGATAAGCCTGCTTAAAACAGTCTACATCCTTCCAGGTCGCTTCATCCTCTGTCATACCCGACCATTGTATAAGAATCTCCTTTGTACCATGGTTTAAACGAGCTCGAATGACAGCAGGAAAAGGAACTACTCGGCCGTCCTCTAGTGCTGGTAGCTCTGTAATAGGTGGGAGTTGGTATCCTTTGAATGCCTTCAAAAGCGAAACATGAAAAATGTTATGAAGTCGACTGTCATTTGGCAAATCCAACTTATATACAACCTGTCCAATTCGCCGTAAGATTGAAAATGGACCATAAAATTTGGGGGACAGTTTATTGTGAATACTCAGCCGCATGGAGCGCTGCCTGTAAGGATGTAAACGAAGCCAGACAAGTGACCCTGGAGAAAATTCGATGTCACGATGGCCCTTATCATAATATTCCTTCATTCGTTGTTGTGCTGTTTGTAATCGAAATCGGATTTCACCCAAGATGTGATCACGTTCCAGCAATACCTGTTCAACAGTTTCTACCCGAGTGGTCCCAGGCACATATGAAAGCAAACGAGGTGGGTCACGACCATAAACAACCTTGAAGGGTGTGGTTTGCAATGCCGAATGAAAAGATGTGTTATAACAAAATTCTGTCCATGGGACCCAAGCAACCCACTTTCGAGGACAAGTACCAACAAAGCAGAGAAGATACATTTCAAGAGTACAGTTAACGACCTATGTTTACCCATCTATTTGTGGGTGGTAAGCAGATGAGAATTGTAGTTTAGTACCATTCAAGCGAAAAAGTTCCTTCCAAAAAGTGCTAGTAAAAACCACATCTCTATCACAAGTAATAGTTTCAGGTATCCCATGCAAGCGAACAATCTGCTCAAAAAATACCTGAGCCACACGAGCTGCTGTGTATGGGTGAGCCAATGGTATGAAATGAGCATATTTTGAGAACCGATCCACTACTACAAACAAGACTGACTTCCCCCAAGACTTGGGCAAGCCATCAATAAAATCCATGGAGATGTCTGACCAGATCTGAATTGGAAGTTGGAGAGGTTGTAACAATCCTGCGGGACTTAAATGTTCAGATTTATTGCGTTGACACACCGGGCAGGCAACGACATATGCAGCAATGTTCTTTTTCATACCTTTCTAGCATAAATTTATGATTCAGGGACACAATGAGGAACAATGTTTTGTTGTGCATCCTGAATTATATCCAAAAGAGAAAACAGGACAAGTTGAAAGGAAGGAAAACGACAGAACAGAGAAGAATCCTATTGCTAGGAGAACAGCGGTGGAAGACGCAACAAAAGTGGGAAACATACAACAACCCAATAGAGAAGAAGGTTTGTAGATCAAAGACACAAAAAATGAGGAGGAAACCGACCTAAACAACCAGAGAAGGTATGGAACAGGGTTGGAATAATTACTGGAAATAAATTTAACTTGTTGGCAAAAGATAAATAAGAGCAAAGGAAGGAGGTGGAGAAAGGTGATTTGAATGTTGTGGATACAAATGTAGACACTCCTGGTGTTCAAATGAGTGCTAACAAGGACAAGAGATCCAAGTTTCAGGATGGCATAATAGATACTGAGCAGGCAGAAGAGAACAGTCATGCCGAAAAGAAAAATATAGCAAAATCAGGTGACATTGTGGATAGTTCTCCAGGAAGGAAAATGGGTGAGTATGTGATTGAAAGGGGTAATGACGAAGTTGTGTCAACAAAGTATAACAATGAGGAGAACAACTACGAAAAAGAAAAGGACGGTACTGATTGTGTATCACGTGACGTGCTTGAACAAGGTCTGAACTCGGAGAACGAAAATCATAGGGATGAGGTGGAATCTGTAATAAGGAGAGGTCCAGACTTAATAGATGATGATGATGATGTTTTGCAGCAAAGAAAGGACCTTGAGGAGGATGAAGAGCTAGAATACAATATTCAACAAATTAGCAAAGCGGGCGATTTATCACCAAGGCATACCAACAGCTTGAAAAATAGAGTAAGAAAAGGCAAAAAACAATTCCTTTAAAGGTACAAACAAGGAGCAGCAGGGAGAGGGCGTCTAATAGTGATCAATGATTGAAAAAATACTCTTCTGGAATATTAGGTCGATTAATACTCAAAAATCATTTGAGAGATTAATGGACTTAAACAAAAGACACATATATTCATTCATAGCTCGAACCATTTCAAAATCCATCTGAGTTGGATGATTACAAAAGGAAATTAGGTTTTGAGCATGCGGGGGTGAACAGTTCTGGAAAGATTTGGTTTTTTTGGAGGACAATTTGGGAAGGCAACATTCTTCTCGATACAGTCCAACAAATAACCATTAAGTTCAAAATAGAAAGTAATTTTTTTATAATCACAGTTGTGTATGCGAGATGTAATGCATTGGATAGATTAGAATTATGGGAGGAATTGGAGGAGTTAGCAAGAAGTCAACAATGTCCATGGGTAGTTGGAGGAGATTTCAATGTTATTCTTAATGAGGAAGAAAAACTAGGAGGCCTTGCATTCACTCAAAATGAAGCTTTGGAGTTTGCATCTTGTATCAATGCATGTGCGTTAACAGAGGTGCGCACATCAGGGAGTAAATACACATGGTGGAATGGGCGAATTGAGGAGGATTGTATTTTTAAAAGGTTGGACAGGATTCTTGTGAATCAGGAATTTATGGATCTTTTCCCAACATCTGAGGTGCATTATCTTATCAGACAGGGGTCTGACCATGCACCTTTGCATATGACTAGTAGCTCAAGAGAAGATGTGTTCATAAAGCCCTTTAGATTCTTGAATTTTTGGAGCAAGCACAAACATTTTAAGCAAGTTGTGGCAGATAATTGGAGTGTGGACTTTGTTGGGAACCCTTTTATAGAGTTCCATGCTAAAATGAAGAGAGTTAAGAAAGCACTGTCAATGTGGAGCAAATCTGCCTATGGAAACGTTTTTCAACAAATTGCCACCATAGAAGATATGATAAGGGTGAAGGAAATACAATTGGAAATACAACCATCTGCCAGCAACCGGGCAGAATTGAGCAAAGTAGAAGCAGATTTGAAGAAATATTTGCAAGTTGAAGAAGATTTCTGGAGGCAAAAGGCAGGGATGAAATGGTTTTCAGATGGGGACAGAAATACGAAAATTTTCCATTCGTATGTTAAAGGGAAAAGGAAGAAGTTGCATATTGATGAAATAGTGACTGACCAAGAAATTACGTTGCAGACAAATGAACAGATTGGTCTAGCGGCTGTGGGATTTTTTGAAGAACAATTTCGTGCGGAAATGTTGGAAACGGACTATGCCATGATTGACCACATTCCAAAGAGTATATCAGACGACGAAAATGATTCAATGAGTAGGCTGCCAGATCAGGATGAAGTGAAAAAAGTGGTCTTTGCATTAAATGGGAGCAGTGCTTGTGGGCCGGATGGGTTTACAGGGCATTTCTTTCAATGTTGTTAGGAGATCATAGGGGATGATGCTACTAAGTTGGTAAGAGCTTTTTTCTGCGGTCAGGAGCTGACAAAATTTGTTACTCATACCAACATAGTATTACTACCCAAGAAAGAATCAGTACGAAGCTTCTCAGATCTAAGACCTATAAGTCTTAGTAACGTTTTGAATAAGATCATTTCACGAGTGATTCATGAAAGAATTCTGCTGGTCTTACCCAAGATAATTTCTCCAACCCAGTCAGGTTTTGTGAAGGGCAGAAGTATCACTGAGAATGTGTTGTTGGCACAAGAAATAATTAGAGATATGAATATGAGGAACAAAAATGTTAACGTGGTTGTGAAACTGGATATGGCCAAGGCATATGACAGAGTTTCATGGATATTCTTAACTAAAGTGATGAGAAGATTTGGTTTCTCTGAAATAATTATTGATATGATATGGGAGGATTATGTCCAACAACTGGTATTCAATTCTAATTAATGGTAGGGCACATGGTCTTTTCAGATCGTCGAGAGGACTGAAGCAGGGAGATCCTCTATCCCTACCCTTTTCATTATTGCAGCAGAGGTCCTAGCAAGAGGACTCAACAGCTTACATGGGGATGTAGATTTTAAGGGATATGGTTTGCCAAAGTGGAGTCCTAAGATTAATCATCTATCATACGCAGATGATACTATCCTTTTTTGCTCTGGGGAAAGAAGATCAGTGATCAAAATGATGCAGGTGCTAAAAGAGTATGAAAGTACTTCAGGTCAAATGATTAATAAATCTAAGAGTTGCTTCTATCTTCATGAGAAAACACCTCTGATTGTGGCAATTAGACTGAGGAGGTTAACGGGGATAAGACAAGGAAATTTTCCTTTTCTGTATTTGGGTTGTCCAGTATTTTATGGGAGGAGCAACTCTGGGTATTTTGAAGACTTGATTAGGAAAGTTGCTAAGAGAATTTTCCCATGGCATAATAAATTCCTATCATTTGGAGGTAAGCAGGTGCTTGTCAATCATGTACTTCAGTCATTGCCAATATACTTGTTATCAGCTATGAATCCAACCAAGAAAGTCATGGAGCAAATCCATCAAATTTTTGCTAAATTCTTTTGGGGAAATATTGAAGGAGTTAAAGGTAAACATTGGGTGGCATGGAGGGATATGTGTCTTCCAAACGAGGAAGGTGGAATTGGATTTAGGCAGATTCAGGATATAAATAAGGCCTTGTTTGCTAAGCTCTGGTGGAACTTTAGAGTATCCATAAACTCTTTATGGGCTGAATACATGTGGAATAAGTACTGCAAGAAAATGCATCCGCTAATTGTAAACAGTTCAGGAGCCTCACAGGTTTGGAAGAAGATGATTAAGATCAGGAAGGAGGTAGAACATGATATATGGTGGCAAATCAAGGCAGGAAATTCTAGTTTCTGGTTTGATGATTGGACCAGGCAAGGAGCATTATACTTTACTGAAGGAGAGCTCGCACAAGATGAGGAATTGAAGGTAAAGGATTTTATCATAAATGATGAGTGGAATGAAGACAAGCTAAGATCAGTGATTTCAGAGGAAATGGTACAACATATAACAATGAACATCAGGCCCATTCTCAAGGAAGGCAGCACCGACAAGGCATGGTGGATGCATAGCACTAAAGGGGATTTCACTGTCAAATCAGCCTATAATAACATGAGAAGAAAACTGTCAGTGAATGAATGGAGCAATTATATGTGGGTAAAAGGTTTGCCATTTAAGATTGGTTTTTTCTTATGGAGGGTATGGAGGGGGAGAATAGCCACAGATGATAATTTAAAGAGGATGAGGATACAAGTGGTCTCAAAATGTTACTGTTGTGAAGAGGGTCAATTGGAGACGATGTCTCATCTTTTACTAACAGCTCCCATAGCCCAAAAGCTATGGAAGCAGTTTGCTTCTTGTGTAGGTCTCAGCGTAACTGAAAATTTAAAGCAAACCATTTATAGATGGTGGGAGCACAAGATGTCACACAAATTAGATCAGATACTAAAGGCAGTCCCTGCAATCATAATGTGGGAATTATGGAAGAGAAGAAATGTTATAAAACATGGGAAGATGATCACTTATAGTTCTATGTATTATCAATATCAATTGGCAATACATCAATTAATAAGGATCAAATTCCATGGATCAAAAGGATGTCACACCATTGGTCAGAAATGGTGGATATACTTCAAAGATATCAGCCCAACATACATTATCTACTGGTGAGGTGGAAGATGCCAAGAGAGGGCTGGGTTACTTGCAACACGGATGGAGCTAGTAAAGGAAACCCAGGTCAGAGTGCTTATGGTTTTTGTATACGAAATAGTGGAGGAGATCTCATATATGCAGAGACACAGAGCATAGGGGAGGCAACCAACATGGAGGCAGAGGTTAGAGCAGTGTGGGAAGCTTTAAAGTATTGCATCAGTCAGAGGATGAGTAACGTTCATATGGATACAGATTCATTGATTTTAAAGAACATGATTGTTAAGAATTGGAAAATACCATGGGAGTTTGCGGAAAAAATGGAAGACATACATGAAATGGTGACACAAATCAATGTAAATGTGCAACATATTTTCAGAGAGGCAAATCAGCTAGCAGACTTTGTAGCAAATACAGCAATTAACAAAGAAGGAAAACAGGTATTCTTAAGCTTTAATCAATTACCAAGCCTGGGAAGAAAAATTCTTAATATGGACAAACATCAGATCCCTTCAGTTCGTATCAAATCAAGAAGAATAAACATAGACAACAATGGGTAGCATGCTTAGTTACAGTGACGATTTAAAGTTCCACAGCTATATAAACAAGGTATATTCTAGAATTAACTGGAGCAAAAGTGTTGTCAAGGAATTACTCTTAGGACTAAGCTACGTCAGCAAGCAAAATGGGTTACAAGGACCAGGAAAAGTGAGAGTAAAGGGACCAAATTTGATATTGTTGAAGCACTTAGCAAGGAATCTGATGGATGAAATTCAGGAGAAGTCATTTCCTCGTATTCGGCTTCACCTACAACAAGAATCACAGTTAGATGAAAAGAATAGAAAAGAGGAAGCAAGGGATGCGGGTAGATCAGGGAAGACCTATACTCAATATCGAGTTCGACGAGATCTCCGACATTCCAACCGGACAGTACACCTACAACAGTCACAGTCAGCTGGCAGGAAAGGAAAACAATTCAAGAAAGAGGGAGGACAAACGTTTGAAAGCTTATGTGAACAACAGGTCACAAATGCTTGAGGATGAATGTTTATTCATGCCTGCAAGGAGGCGGAAGGAGCAAGGAAGAAGGGACAAGTGAAAATGGAAGTTGAAAGAACATTTTTGGAAACCCAGCTGAAGGGGACTTTTATTAAAAATGCCTGGTCTGGCCACTTTTGGACCGACCAGGAATCATTTTGTTTATGAAAATATTGGCCCTTTTGGGTTGTTTAATAAAGGGACCCTGAGTCCAAATTTAATTTTTTAAAAAAAATAAAATAACTTGTAACATAATATGATGTCTGATAAGAATATTTATATTCAATCCTAACATTATTACGTAAGTAAGGAAGATTATGAAATATGGCAATTTTCAGATTACTCATTTTATTTTGGAGAAGTAAATAGTGTGGCTAATGCACGCACTAGCCAATACAAGAGTAGTGAAGGAGAAACTTGGAGGTTTTTTCACTTGAAATCTTTTCTTTATCGAAACAAGTTAAAGTTAAATTGAAGAATGTATAATCAAGATGCATGGTTTTCCGAATATCAAAATTATAGTTAGGAAAGGACACTTTAATTTCCAGACATGATTCATAGGAGCCTACTATACGTGTAATTATTATCATCTTTTATAGATAGGGATATCTTATATAACCTTTTTACAAGGATGAAACTTTCATTGTCATTATTCCACATAGAGGAAACGATCATATTCCACCTCGTGTAAAGCTTTTTACTTAAGATATGAACTGGTAAGGATCTACCTAGCTAATCCCAAAGGTAATTTATTTAAAAAGTAAATAAATTTAGGCATCTGATTCGTTAAAAAATTATAAAGACACATATGGATGATCTTTTTCTCTTATTCAAATAATAAGTAGTTACACATAACACACTACTTTGATGCCCACATTATAGTGATTAGCATGTCATTGTGTGCATGTTTTTATTTCATACATTAATTAAAAACTACAACGTAACACATATTATTGATGATTCCTTATGTTGTAGATATATAGCTCTGAGGCTCCCCAGTACAAATTAAAGATCCATCATGTCCATAGAGTTTGCAACCATCTCATGCGGTGCAACAATTAACACAAACTTGATAAAGTTTGGTCAATCCAGAAGATGGACAAGTCATGTATCTCTAGAGTCACACTCCAGGGTACATGTTGTAACACCCCAGAAATTTTTTTCGAACTAAGACTCGAACCGTTCTTCGTAGGGAGTGAAATTTCACTAAGGAATTAAAATTTCTTAAGTATTAAGGTCAGGTCACTAGATGTAGCACATTGAGTTCCAAAAAGAATTAAATTGGAAATAGCAAAATCTGAAATTTTGCAAGTTATGCTTAAGTATGAGTTTTGGATCGACTTCAAACGACCATAACTCCTAGCTTATGATGAGTTAGGTGTGCTACCAGATACCGTAGGAAAGAAATTTGAATTATCATTCCAACGCCACCGAGTTTTCTCAGTTTCGAGTTTGTATGAGTGAGATATGGCCTTTTGAAGTTAGGATGTCCAGTTAAGGAAAGTCAAAACCGGGTTTTAGAGGGGCATTTTGGTCTTTTCCTTACTCAATCAGATTTAATTCGTTTTTAGTAATATTTTAAGGGTCTAATCCTATTAGGTTCAGTTTTATAATCCTAGTTTACGCCTAGGGTTTTAGTTGAGAGTTCAAGAAGAGAAAAGAAGAAGAGAAAAGAGAAAGGAGCAAAACGTTCGTCGAAATTCTTGAGAGTTGTTGCGGATTGTCGCCATGGGTTTGATTCCTAAGAGGTATGTAAG